TGCTTTAAAACAAGCCAGGGAGATGGTTACAACTAACCCAAAGTGAACGTGTTTTACAAAAGTGGTCCAACCACAAAAATCCATATATGTCAAAGATGAGCCGGATACTAGTCTAAAACTACAATATATGGGCCAAAATTAAAACATGAGTCAAAAGGGGTAAAGAAGAAAGTCCAAAATGTAGCAAAGTTGCAAGGCCCACAAAGCCCAACATTAGGCTCCAAGGAAGCCCAGGCCCAAGTAGGATAACTCACAACGAGCTTTGAACCAGCCCATTGCCCATGCCATCAGAGTAGAAAACTATTGAGAGGTGGTTTCCAATAACAAGGAGATATATAATCTGAGAGGATTTTTGAGGGGTTTGGGGTTGGTGAGTACCCATTTAAGAGTTTAAGAATGAATTGATTTTGTAAAAAAAAAAATTACTGTAGTGATTATGTTAGTAATATTATAGTAGTGCATCATAACATGTTGGAGCTCACTATAGCAAGTTAGAACCTGCTGTAACATGCTGGAGCTTGCTGTAGCGCGCTCATTGGAATTAGTGTACTATAGCATATCAGAGCTCGCCATGACATGCTATGGCAAGATTTTTTTTGTGTTTTTCACGATTTTTAGCGTTTTTGACCCCTTAAAGTACTCTTAAACCCTCTTGGACTCTTAGAGCTATAAAAAGAAGATTTGGATGACATCTTAGGGTATACAAATTATCCAAAATTCAATCAAAAGTTTTGTAAAAGCAATTGGTGATCATCCGTCTGATTAGGAGATCTCTGCTTTCAATAATATTCAAGTATTGTTCAACTGTTCCAGTCATCTGAGAGTCAAGAGTTGGGAATACCAACAGTCTAGAATTGAGGCATGAAGGGAGACATGTTTTTTTTTTCTTTTGAAGCTCGTTAGGTTTATCTTGAGGGCTTTTTTTGTGAATCAATTGTATATCCCATTCTTGCTTATATTGGTTAATTGAGATTAGTTTTTCCTCAATATTTGTCTATCTTGGATTTTGGTTTTTTGGAATATTGTGTTTGTGACCCGTTTATTTGTTGATAGCGTTATATGGAAATTATTGATCAGGCTAACATGGTTGAATTATATGATTGTATGTTAGAAAATGAGAATTCACTGTCAAATTGACCACTATACTATTTACGTTTTAAATCGCAAACTCTCTAACGTCTCATTAATTGTGAAAACACTGTCTTATTAAAATATTTGATGTTATTTCCTTGAAACTTATTTACTTGTCCCTTGTACTCATAAATACATATTATTATTTACTGAATTAAGTTGAATCACCCCTTTATTATTTTTCATATTTAGAAATTGATCTTCTCTTAGATTCTGCTATTTGAGAGGAGATTAGGGTTCCCACTATATCATGCTGAACATAGGAAAAGAAAGGAAGTTTAGTTATTGTCTTCTTCTATTTTGTGGCTAAATTTTGCTCATAGGGGTTTTCATAAAAGTACTCTATTAACTACATGTAGGTTTTTTTTTTTTTTTTTTTTTTTTTTTTTTTTTTTTTTTCTGATGTACTGTTAAGTTGTTTCCGTTGAACTTTTGAGCTTTATACTGATTTAATTATTATTTTCTTGTTTTTAGTATGAGATATTGCATACTTGGTAAATCTATCCTTGATTGATATGAAGGTGGGAGGACGTATATTAGGCCTATTAGGGTAAATTCTTTTTCATCCTTGGCACTTGTCACGGATCCAATACTTGGGTTGTGTCAAGATAGTTTTTGAGAATTGTGGCATGTTTTCTGAAAAATCTTTCAAGCACTGTTTCTAAATATGACCTGGTAAATGGGTTTTCTGTTTCCAAAACTGAAAATTGTTTTCAAAAACAAATCCAAACTGGAAATATTAATCACTGGGAAGATCGTAATTTTATATCTTTTATCTGATTATTATTCTTGACCTCAAATGTTCAGTTTTCAAGACTTGCAAAGCACTATCCAGAGGGGTTTTGGTCAGAAAGCAAGTACAGATCCAGGATTTCACCTTCAAAGCTTTCCTGGTAAGGAGAAATGGTGTTTTAATTTATTTATGATAACGCATTTAGTTGTTTTTCAATAAATTATAATAAACTTATTGGCTGAACTCAGGCACGAGCCGGACATCCCACATGAAAATTGAACTCTGATGACCGTCCGTTTGTCCATAATCCTAGGCCCAGATAGAGATTGATAGAGAAGGAAAGAGGCTGCTGTATATACAAAGAGAATTTTAATCCGAAATGTTACTAATCCATATTTTTAGTGTAATCAATGAAGAGGACATTTTTTCCTCTCACTCCTTTTATAGTATCAATTTTAATTTCAGTTTTTATTTTTGTCGGCCGCTTGGCTTTCTAATCCTTTGTTGACTGCCTTCAATTTCTTGCATCAATTTGTAAAATCCTAGAACCTATGTCCGAATTCTCCACAAACTATAATTTTCCAACCTATTCTGCTCTGTAAGCCATAATTGATAAATAGATATCAATTCAGAAATATATATTGGGGATATTCTCTTCTCCTATTTTTTATGCTGGGTAAGTCTTGTCGCAGTGGTCAGCCATGCAATGCATGGCAGTCCAATATTTATCAAAGACCAAAAATTAACATCCATATAACGAACTTTTACCCCTTAAAACAAAAGCAGAAGCAAAAGCACAAGCTGAACCAACCCAAGATGACCGGCGATGACTGAAGCCCAACCAAAGAACAGCCCAAGATGACGGGCAACGCTGTTGGGAAAGGCAAATGCGTAGGAAGTTGGGACAAATACTAAAGTCTAGCTTGGAGCCAAACCCACGACGGGACCAAAGTGTTGCCCCGTAAAACAAGCCATGAAATGTTGGTAAATCCATCAATGGCCGCAATAACTTTTATTTAATGTTGTGACTTTTCAACACGGAATACTGGCCCCACTTAATTTTTCAAGTCTAACAATCTTAAAAGTCCATTGACACAAAGCAACCCGTGGTCCTATGCGTCAAGTCCGAAAATGAAGTACGATTAATTATTTACACTGCATCGTAAAAAATCAAAACAAAAAATTGGTGTTCAAGTCAACTATACTAGTCTTCGGAGAGAGGTAGAATTAAGCGTCAAGCCTTCTCCCAGAAATCCAGTACGACTAAATGAAACTGTTCTGGCACCTCGTCCTACATGTCCCTTGGCTGTGCAAGTGGGGCTGTTTCTTACTGTTAATTGCTCTTGGTCCTTTGGGTGTCGTGCGTGCGTGTGTGTATAAATCTGGCTTGCTTGTGTATTGTCTATTTTGTGCATATGGTCTTAGAAAATGTTTTTGTTAATAGATACTGTATAGTTTGGATGTGCAGAACTGAATTTTGTAACCACTTTGTGCATGTTATCTCAATAAATCAAATGAACTTTCACTTAACCTAAAAAAAAAAAAAAAAAGATATCCTTTTGATTTGGAACAGGACACGCTGGTTTCTCTGTTTTCGCTTTTCAATATGTGATACACATAATTGAAGTTGAACAAATTAATTTTACTATCCTAGAATCCTAGTTTAATTAAATTAACTTTCTTCCTAAACAAATACAGAAGATGACAATTTGTTTCTATCTCGTATTACTTTGAGACAAACCCAGCTGTGATCTGTGTAATACATAATTTATATTTTTAAGCCAACTAAGACGAAAGCCACTGGAAGGTTGGCTTCAGGAGTCATAAGAAAGGTTCAGTTGAACAAAAGCTTCGAAAGTGGAACTACTGGGGTGTAAATTCCAGTGCCTTTTAAAAATTTTGAAAAAAAAAAATGTAGGCAAAATTTTGGTCTAGCTACCTGTAATCTGGAGGAAATGACACTTTGGCCCTCATGTTAATTAAGTTAGTAGGATTTTTATTTTTTAACCAAAAAAAAAATAAAGGACTAGGGATATTAATTTCTATACTTATTCTTAAACTCTGGAATTTTAAAATTGAAAAACTGATTGTGTAAGTCCACAAAATCAATGGATGAAGTTTGAAAAGTTTTAGACATAAAATATTCTCCTTTCTTTTGAAAATTTTAAATTAAAAAAATAGAAAAAAGCCTTGAAAGGTAGGTAAATTAATGATCGGCCTCATGAATAAATTTTATTTAATTTTGTAAAAGCACGCACTTTTCAGCAGGGCATGTTGAATAATTCAATGTTGCAAAGTCCAATAAATCCATTCAAACACGGCATCTTATGGTCCTTAACTGCGTTTGGACCAGAATGTTTAATTTGGAAGCACGATTTTATCAACTTAGTGAGTTCTCTTAATTGTTCTTGCTTATGCATTGGAGAAGCATATTATGTTTTTGCAATTCGTGTTAGGGCCATTTGATTTTATACTTGTGCGTTTCTTTTCGCAAAACTAAATATTCAAGTTTAACTGCCATTTTCTTACACTGATCTTTTGTTATGATAATTAACAAAACTGAATGCAAGATATCTAATTCTATTTTACTTGTTATGGGAGCCACTAATTCATTCAAGTGCTTACAATTTCATAAATTATTTGCTATTAATTGCAATGATTCAGTTCCTCTACTTCCTAAAAGTCAGGAAAGAATGAAAGCTTTTACTAAATTGTTTTTCTTTGCACACCTCTTGACGGGGTAATAGTAAACAAGTCAACTTTATGCCATATATGATTTAATTGGGATAACGAAGTCCTTCTAATTAGTATTCATGGAGGTTAGGAATACTAGTTTTTAAAGAAAGGTAGGCCTGGCTTCAAGTCTTCTCCTAGAATTCTATTTATAGCTAATTGAAACCGTTCTGCACTTTTGTCCATACTTCAATTCATCCATTGCCCTCACAGCTGCTGTACCTTGCAATCATGGCCTTGCTTCTTGGTCATATCATCGTCTTCATGCTATTTCTTCTTGCACATTCTAGCTTTGCTCAAAATAATGGCAGGGTGAAAGTGGGTGCAACCATCACGGCATCTGACAAGGCCACTCCATGGCTTTCACCTTCCAATGATTTTGCTTTTGGCTTTCTCAAACTTGATGATCAGAATCTCTTCTTGCTTTCCATCTGGTTCTATAAATTACCAGACAAAACAGTTGTTTGGTATGCCAATAAAGGCACACCTGTTTCAGCAGGATCAAAAGTAGAGCTAAATCCTGAAAAAGGTCTTGTTCTTCAGGACCCCAAGGGATAGAATTGTGGAAGCCAAACAAGGTTCTGAGTGTTATTGCATATGGTTTCATGAATGACACTGGAAACTTTATGCTCTTGCATAACGACTCTAGTCCCGGGTGGGAGAGTTTCCAAAGTCCAACTGATACCATGTTGCCTACACAAATAATGAATCTTGGAGGGGTTCTTCATTCTCGACAATCAGAGAATAGATTCACACCTGGAAGGTTTCAGTGTCGTCTGCTCTCGGACGGAAATCTTGTGCTCAATACTAGAGATGTACAATCAGATTTTCCTTACGAGGCTTACTATAGTAGTGGCACTAGCGATTCTTCCAACATATCTAATTCAGGTTATCAAGTAGTCTTTGACCAGACAGCACAAATGTACATTTTGAGAGGAAACAACCAGAGAATGGATCTTGCAACAGAAAAATTACCGTTATCTTTTGTGAAGGATTATTATCATAGAACAACTCTCAATTTTGATGGAGTTTTTGGCCAATATTATCATCCAAAGAATCTCTCTGGGAATCCTGGTTGGAAAGCTCTTTGGGTGCAGCCAGATAATATATGTCTTCGTAACACTTTGTTTGGTGGAGGCAGTGGGACTTGCGGGTTTAACAGCATTTGTCGACTTGATGTTAACCGAAGGCCGATTTGTGAGTGTCCACTACATTATGAATTACTTGATCCTAATGACAAGCATGGAAGCTGCAAGCCAAGATTTACACAAATTTGTGAAGAAGACAATAGCAAATCTGTGGAAGATCTCTATGATTTTGAAGAGCTAATAGAAACTAATTGGGTATATGGTGATTATGAGACTATAGATCCTTCTACTGAAATAATGTGTCGAAATTCTTGCCTATATGATTGTTTCTGTGCTGCTGCCGTTTTCAATGGTAATCAGTGCTGGAAGAAGGGACAACCTCTTAAAAATGGGAGATCGGATCCTAGTGCGAATGTGAATGGAAAGTCATTCTTGAAGTTCAAAAAAGCTGATATTCCTCCAACAACTTTTACGCCTACTCATGAGATTAACAAAACGAAGGAAAGGGGAACATTAATTCTAGTTGGATCATTGCTCCTTGGTAGCTCTTTATTTGTGAATGCTATATTTGTGATTGCCTTCTGCATGGTCTTTTCCTTCATTTACCACAAGAAAATCAATAAATTTCAAAATGTTAATAGTGATGCAGGGACAAATCTTCGTTGTTTTACGTACAAAGAGCTACAAGAAGCCACAGATGGGTTCAAGGAAGAAATTGGACGGGGTGCTTTTGGTGTTGTCTACAAGGGAGAAATACTGACTCATGGCACCAAAACTTTTGTTGCAGCCAAAAGCTTGGATGCAGTAATTCAAGATAGAGAGAAGGAATTCAAAACTGAAGTGAAAGTAATCGGTCAAACTCATCACAAGAATTTGGTCCGGCTGCTTGGATTTTGTGATGAAGGAGATAATAGGTTGTTGGTATTTGAGTTCTTAAGCAACGGGACTTTAGCATCATTCCTTTTTGGAGATACCAAACCTAGTTGGAACCAGAGGACTCAAATTGCAGTAGGGATTGCAAGGGGACTCCTTTACCTACACGAGGAATGCAGCACTCAAATAATTCACTGTGATATAAAGCCTCAAAATATTCTTCTTGATGATTACTACATTGCTCGAATTTCTGACTTCGGATTGGCTAAACTTTTGATGATGAATCAAAGTCAAACCAATACAGGCATTAGGGGAACAAAAGGGTATGTTGCACCGGAGTGGTTCAAAGGTAAGCCAATCACCACAAAGGTTGATGTGTATAGCTATGGTGTCATGCTATTGGAGATTGTTTGTTGTCAAAAAAATATTGGGGATTTGGAGGGTGGTGGAGAAGGGAAAGCAATTCTAACTGATTGGGCTTATGACTACTTTCAAGAAGGAATGTTGGATGTTCTGGTTGAAAATGATGTGGAAGCTTTAAATGACAGGGAGAAATTAGAGAGATTTGTCATGGTAGCTTTTTGGTGTATTCAAGAAGACGCTTCTCTCAGGCCTACAATGAGGAAAGTATGTCAGATGCTAGAAGGGGGGTTTGAAGTTCCTGTGCCTCAAAACCCAAACCAAGTTTCTTTTAGGGATTAGGCTTCCTTGCTGCTTTCATATGACGGTACTCTATTTATGTTCTGTTCATGGATAACCTATTTTATGTATTAATTATCTTATTCACCATCTATATACATTTTGATTTATGGTATTCTCCATCTTGTGATATGTTACACTATTTAATGTTGTGTCTAAGTCAAGGATTTCAGAATTATCAAATGAAAAATATAAAGAAAAATAAATCATCCCATAAACTTAATTTTTTAGTAATTTAACACTTACAATGTTTTTCCATTCAAGTGCATCTGTTTATTTTCTTCTCCTTTTATTAGGTGAATAAATAAATAAGAAAAGATTTGCTTGGATAATTCATGAAAAGTAGGGCACTGAATACAAAACTACTCAGATGAAGGAAACAAATGAAGCTAGAAAATAAATGGGAAACAGAGCTAAAGAAATCACTATATATCTTTTATTCGTTGCCTTGTATTTCTTTTTCCTCTCTATACTTCTGCATTTTTATTTCGAATATTGTTAGCTTATTTGTTCTTTAACTGAATTGCAAGAAAGATACTATTTATGGTGTAAAACTCCTAATGAGGTGCTTCATTTGAAACATTGCATTCAATCTCTCTCCAATCTCTTCACTTCTTCCCACACACACTCTCTCTCTCTCACACACACACACATACACGCACACTCTTTCCTCTTATCTATTTTTCTTACTTGGCTAAAGCACTAGACAATAACACGAATTTACTTAGAGCCCCTCAAACTTCGTACCACCCTGCTTCGTTGGACCATCTTCCTATAAGATTTAACAGTAGCAACATATATATATTGAGAAAACAAGTATGCGCATATATGCAATAGTACTCAAAGCATGATATATGCCAACACTCCTCATTCTTTACCTTCATTTTTCTCCGTAGAGAGGGGCAGGAAAACACATGGCTTGTCTTTCCCATTAGAAGGTAGAAATGTTGAATGTGTTTAACAAGTCAACAACGGTATGACAAGGCAACACTAATACGATCTATACAAATTAAGCCCATTAAGTCGTGTTTGGTGCACGCATGGCTGAAGTGCAGAGGGTTTAGGGTCATGTACAATTTGAGCGGGTTAGGGTTCCAATTTTGGGAATATATTTAAATTATACAGCTCGGTTCAATTTATGTGTTTTAATTTAATAGTCAAATCATAAATAGAATTGTATAAGAAACATCCTTGTGTAAACTGAACCAAGTAAAACTGTGAAGACTTGGTTCAATCAATTTGGTTTGCTTTGATTTGTTTTGTTATACACCCTCTATTTAATTTGATTTTGTTGTTTATAAAATTATTTTTACATATTTACTTATGGTCCCATAATCCCAAGCCTCTAGTTTTGCATTCCACCCTTTGAGAAGGGAGAAAAGTGTATCACCTACAAAATAATAAGAAGTTGTACCACATGAATGGAAAAATGTAATCAAAATGGGCTACTACATTGAGTATTTTCTTAATTTTGTTGTCCATTCACTTTTTAGCTGCCTACAAAGCATATACGTTATTTTGATTAGATCAAAAGTTACAAGTATTAGGGAAAAGAAAGCTTGTCCAAATGACTGGAATGGGTTACAATATTCAACTACCACTTGCCCCTCTCAAGGAATAATTATATTCTATTGGTTGTTTCTTGGAAATTAAAGGATGGAATGTGAAAAGTCTATGCTCAAAGTCTTCTCTACAGGGAGGCTATATAGTTAGTCAAGGTTGTATTAACGGATGAGCAATATTAATTTCATGCTTGTCATAAATGTCAACTATACTAATTATAAAATTGTTAAAAGACAAAAAAACTCTTTAATAAAGGTGTTGTAGGGTTTCTGTAGTGCAATTCGATTGAGTTAAGGTGCAAGTATAAACCAAACCAAATTTCATAGCTTGTGATCTTTATAAACTAAATCAAACCAAACCAAACCAAACCATGAATCTTCAAGAATCAAAGCCAATCAAACCTCAATTCACGGTTTTGTTTGGTTTGAAATCATAGTTTATTGGCTAGGTTTCGACAGAGAGCAAAAAGCTAAGAAGAGTGTGCAACCTACGGAGAGCAACGCTTTTAAGAAGAAAAAACATTATGTCAGCATAGAGACGAGAGCCAAAGAGAGAGTGGTGTGCATAGAGGATGAAGGGCAGAAAGATGACAATTGGCAAATCAAAAAAGAAGAATCGTGGCAGAGAGATGAGAGCCAAAAAGATAGCAAAGTTCATAAAGAATAAATGATCTACTTATAATTTTTTGAATTTCATGAAATTAGGCAAATTAGAAAAGAGTAAATGCAAAAACTAATTGTTTCTAAGGACTAAACAACAATTTTAATTCCCCCATTGACTTATGAAGAATTTTAATTAAAACAAAAGCAAGCCTCTTGTTTTTTTGTTTGTATATGATCTCTATCTTTTGTAGCTTCTTCTTCAATAGTTCAACCGACCACAAACTAAAAGGAGAAAATGCAGGCAACTAAAGATAGCCGCCTATAGTAGTTTGCTGCTAGTTTCATTAGCTTTATGCCAAAAGCTATTATTGTGTCCTTGGTAGGACAAAAAGATGTTGGTTTCTCTTGTCATTGTGAGCATGAAAGGCAAAAGCACCCAATGCAAAACTAGATACAAGTCAAAAACTTTCTTGTGGCTTTGACAACTCAAAGCCTCTCAAAGTAACCCAAGCCCAAAACCATCTTTATATTTTCAAAACCAACCAAATTTGGCAACCAGCAGTTGTTGACCTGTCATCCTCATCGTTTTCGATTGCTATATCAGACCAACCACAAGCCGTCCAAGCATCTGACCTTAGAGTTTGCAAACACTACCAACTACTCACTAGTCAGCTGGCTATGCTAGACTTGCCAACTAGCCATCACTCATCTGATGGCAAAGCCACCACTAGAGTCATAACCCACCTGTCCTAACTGCCTGAGTGAGGCATGATAGTCGGGCAGTCGCCAACACCTCTCGGTATCAGAAATCCAATAGCATGTGGGCATTGTAATCCCTTGTCATAATTGCTAGGCTAACATGATCCATAATACTTGTAACTTGTAGCATCCGTATGCAGAAATATATTTTCTAGGTAGTATTAAGCTCACATGTCTAAACACACACATTGCTCATGCAGCAACCACAATATGCCCACACACAAAAGCCAAACATACAACCATAATAATCATACATCCACGACTAAACCATAGTAGTGAAACGGCACACAAATTCCCAATATACAATCCCTTTCTCTTATAAAATGACTATATAATTACAACATAATCTATATTATGACTAAAACATCCAAAAGAGTACTGCTGGCCCAGTTCTACTAGTGTGATGTGTAAGCAAATGTAGATGCTAAGTGAGTGGTGATGAACTGCTAGGAATAATTTGGAAAATGCAAAAATTAAATAATATGAGCACTAAGTTCCTAAGGAATGGCACACTGCCTAAATTTAGTGGAAAGAAAGGGGGTTTCGTAATGATAGCCTATATGAACATGGTTTAGAAACCTTAGTAGTCATGGAAGTCCATAAGTAGAATATTATAAAAATTCCATTTTATTTTCTGAGTATAACATAACATCCATAAAACTAGGACAAAAGAGCATAAAAGAGGCATAAAAATCTTAATCATGTACTATAACATATAGCTCTAATCGGATGTGCACAACTAACAATCTTTGAGGACAGTAAAATATAAGGCCAAAGTTTAGCCCTTATTCAAGAAAAATATGCCGGACGCTACTACATTATACAGTCTGCACTATGAATCACCACTCTTGGCTAGACTAATACAATTTGTGGTGTCTGAAACCTTTTTAGGTTTAATGTCATAACATAAACTATAGATTTGCCACCTGCCCCTCTAGTTGCCCAACATTTAAGTGTGTGTGTTGAAGCATCAAAATATCAAAAAATTCAAGTATATAGGAAAAGCATAATATAATCACTCTGTTTCCAAGTTTGATATGAAAGTGCATTCATGGTTTAGGAAACAACTCATAATTGTCAAAAAATATATATTTTAATTTAAAAAGATTAATGTTAGAAGGTATGCCACTCATTGTGTATATGGATGCTCTTGATGAATGGTGGGATTTGTTCAACTAGTATCGGTCTTGACTTGGTCTCCTTCTTTTACAAGTGGAGAAGATGCAACATAAGTTGTAATGTCCTAATTTAGGGGTTAGTGGAAAAATTTTGATAATTTTGGGACTTAATTGATAGAAACAGAAATGAGATTATCTCATGATTTTTATTCTACTTTGGATCACGAGCTCCCTAAAATCTCTAATAATTATAAAAGATTTGTTATACTGTTAAGTTTTCTATTATATCTGTTCTTTATTCTCGTAAATGCATATTATTATTCACTGAGTTTTTCGACCCACCCCTTATTATTTCTCAGATTCAGAGTTTGATATTTGATCAGATCCTACCATTTGAGAAGATCCCTAATTCTATACTAGTAGATAACATAGTTTTCTTCCATTTCTATTAAGAACTATGATGTGTTGCGTAATTAGTCTCCATTAAATACATATAGGTCCTCCTCTGTGATTGACGAGACTATTAGCTTGGGAAATATATTCTGTTTTAATTGTATTTATACAAGATTCGATTTAGTTACTTGTAGTTTATATGATGGTTACATGATTTTTGTAGGCTTGCTGTGATGGAATCCATTCCAATCCTAACACCAATCACAAATCCAAATTTCTGGTTTGTGACAAAGTGGTATCAGAGCTCTACGTTATCTATGGTTAATGGAGCAACCATTCCTCTATGGAGTCCTGAATATGGTTAAACACCTTTAAGTGTCTTAATCTTTATAGTGTGTTTTAGAAAAATGTATAAGAAGTCAACCTTAGGGTTATGCTTAACTTAAGCAACCGATTAGTGCATTTATGAGCTTTTCAGGATTGCAAGTGAAGATTTTAGATAATGGGAGCATTTTATAAATTTTTGATGATTATGAAGGAGTAACACTTGAGCTGCTAGAGTGTGAAA